CATTTGAGTGTCGAAAAGTAATTGGTTTTGCACTTTCTACACGATGCGATTGGCTTAAAAGATTCGCGCCACCTTTTCATCCAATCAGAAGTAAAACCAAAGCCAATTGTGACGCGCTCGCATGCATTTTCCCGCGCTTTGCGTCAGCCACATGTAATTACTTCGAGTTTTGATTGGTTCAATGTATTGTCTGTGTCCCTACGTGATTGGCCAGAGTAATTACTTTGGTTTTGGTTTTACGACACTCAAACGAAAACCACTCTAACAAACAGAAATTAATAAACCCGCCAACCACAAAACTAACGCCCTTTGAAGGTAGCAAAGGGAAAGGATCAATATCACTACCCTACAGTGCAGGCACATCGTTGACATTTTTCCAGCTAGTGAGCCCTCAGTATTTTTTCTGTATGTATAGTTGCAATATCTTTGATTTTGAAAACAGGGGAAGATTGGGGAGGGTAGGAAGTACAATCGATAGGGTGGGAGTAAGGTGAAAGGACAAAGTACAAGGGGGGGGGAGGGAGAAAATATGCCTGTCTCCCTTCATCTGTTGGCTGAATTTAAATCTCTGAAAAGAGAACTGTGAATTATAAATCCACTGATCCAGCCATTTTCCTCATCTAGTTCTTGCAAGGAATGTCTAGTGTAGGTAGTCACTTTGTTTGCATGAAATAAACCCAACTGTTGGCTCTTCTAGGATCCACTTGAATGAAGACCATAAAGCAGGAAACTAATAGACTGGAAGGTTCCTTTGTCTTTGCTAAGGTCTTTACTAGTGACATTATTAAAATAGATTTCGGTACAACTTCTGACTGCCCTAGAAGGGCCCCAAGATTATTTACATGAGCTCTGAAAATTTACAGAAAAAACAACTGCAAAAAATTTCTTTTGGCAGCCAAATGAAATCCCCTCTATCGAAGCAGAGTCAAAAAGAAATTGTGTTAGTGCATAAAATATTAGCCTGTGAGCTGGCTCTCTTGTAGGACAATATCAGAGAAAGCTAGAAAGTATGCAAAGGGGATTGAACAGCTCTTCAGCTCTTTGACAACTTTGGCCGCATGCTCATAGTAGTGGGGAGAAATGCCCATCTCCTGGCCCTTAATTGACAAACTTAACCCTGACGACTTGTTTTCAAGGCACTTGTTTACGTTTAGTGGTTGTTTAGCACAACAAAACAAATCATGGGGATTATGGGAGGAAGCTTACTAGAAAGATGAGGTTTAATAATTATCCTTGTTGACTATCCAAAAGGTAGGTGGGGGGTTATCAGGGAGCTGACTACAGCACATGTTTTCCCACTAACCTTTTGAGCTTTTGATAGAACATGACCACTATCTGTTTTCGTTATTTCGTGTACATTGGTACAAATGTACGACATCCTTGTGCCCACTTCAGGGATGTCACTTTTCAAGAGGTGATCCAAAACATGAAGTGATTTCTAGAAAAAATTCAACATTATATATTAACAGTGGGACAAAGGCAGTTCAAATTTATTGATGCTTTAAAAATTCAAGACAGAAAGAAAAGAGAAGAGCTGATATATTGATTTTAAAAATTTAAGAAATGAAAGGCTTAATGCAAGAACAACACCTTGAGTTTTTGTTCATTTTTGAAAGTGCTTCAAAGTTACTGAATTTTTGCATGTGACTTTTGATTTAGTAGACAAACACCAGCTGAAACACTGCTCTTTGAGTTTGAGCTTTTTATTTGAGAAATAAAGAAGGCAAAAACTTTGTCGGCTTGCTTTGCATTTTTTTTGGTTAAAATCAGAAACAAAAGAAACTGATTAAGTTCTTGTTTAGCAAAATCAGCAGAACGGGAAATTCAAGTTCACTATGAGTAACAATGATGTTATAATCCTTTATTGACAGATGAGCAGTAGCATTTTCCGTTCTGATGCAGTAGGTTGATTGCGCCAAAAGTTTGTGCATATACCACATCTGGCACTGGTTTGATTTGTGGCTCTCTCTTTTTTTGGTAACTCCAATAAATCCCAAATATTGACCAATGAATAAGAATGTGGATTTGCAGGAGTGTTCAACTTACCAACTGCACCTCGGTGACTGGTTCCAACAGTCTGTCATTAAGTGCACTGAACACTTTATCAACATTTAAAGAAGAACACCTTCAAAAACAAAAAAGTAACATGGTTACAACTCCTCTGAAACTCTTATCTATTTTTCTTTGTATTATTTCAAAATATAGCTTTGTGATACGTCAGGAAACCACAACACCTTGTGCCAACCACAGGGTCAGAAACAGTCCCTTCCCAAAACAACAAATGATAGGACAGACCACACAACTGGGGTCTACAACCCATACTCATTCTGAACAGAAGTGTGGAATTCTGGTAGTTTCTTTGAGTATTTAGGATGGGTACAATACCCAAATGACATAATACAAAAGGTTGAAAAGACAACAATACCCACACCACAAAATAAAAGTAAACCAAAATAGTCTCCTCAACACAAAGAAACACCTGCATCTCTTTATGTCCCCTTCAATTAACTATGAGGAAGGATGAAGGAGACAAGGCCAATGGCTGTAATGTCACCATCCAATAAAATGATTAACTGATGAACTGAGTCAGTATCTTCATAAAGATCTTGCCTTTTTTGAAGACCCTCCTCCTTGCACATTCTTCATGTATACTAAACAAGACCTGGTTCATCAAGATGAATTAGAGCAACATGATGACGATTGCTTTTGGAGTGATTATTGACTCAAACAGCATAGGTAAGTGAAACCGAAAGAAAAAGCTAGAAAAGAGCTGGACCCCTTTAAAATTTCAGTCTGAATTTAGGGAAGAGTTAAGCTTATTTTATTCAAAATTTACGATTAGGTTAGAGAAAGAGAGGATAGCTGTTAAAGCAACTTAGTGGTGCCCCAGTATTAGATAATGTGACAGCTTCTGCTGATCTTTACATTGCCTTATACTCTTTGGCCCAATTCAAACGTCAAACCCAAATGATACAAGTTCGATGGTTGATTCAGACATTGAGCTTAATAATTATTAGTGAGACTCAATTCATGTTCATGATGTACAATGGTTTACAATGGTCTACAATGCTTACCCAGTAAAAAAAATTATAGTTATTTATGTATTAGGTTCAGCACATGAGAAGTTTGACATTTAAAATGAAGTCGGCCTCCACCGTTAAAATTCCCATGTGGGCCACTTGATCTTTATTCATGGGTCGACCCAAATACTTTTAAGTATTAAAATACTTAATTGAAGGAATTAGGTTCAGTACTTGAAAAGTTTGACGTTTGAACTGGGCCTATGAAACCAAAATTGCTAAGCCAAACTTATTCAAATGCTGCCTTTCTGACATATGTAATTCATCAGTTGATTCAGCACATGGGGGACACAGAACTTGAACAAGGGCTAAACCTCTCTGAGAGACATTTTTGCCCTTTGATTTTTGCACAAAAAAAAACACGTACGGTAAACAGCAAGTTTACCTTCTTGTGAACTGAATCAAGTCTTCCCTTGAAGGCACAGCGCGGATTCCACCCTCAGAAGTAATCTTATTGACAAGATGAGCTTCTACAGATAATCCATTTTCTGAATCTGATGAATCTTCATCATCTGACGGCCTAACAACATTGAAATTTGAAGACATTTAAAAACTCCATCAATAAAATAAAGTAACACAAAAACAACCAAATTCTTTTGCAATCCCCCCTTTTGCTACAAGGAAGCTGGTCAGAAAACAAAGGATGAACATACTTTGTGAAGATTTCAGAAAGATGTCAAAAATTTGCAGTTTAAACCAATCAGAAGCATAGTAGAGACAGTAGTAAAGTTAGCATGTTTTTGCATTCCCACATGTTCATTGTGCTTGGTTCTTTCCTTCTTATCTGGACCATTACTTAAATTTAACAGAAAACTTTGAATAAATAAAACATTGTTCTTACTCAAGAGAGACTTGGCCATCCAGAAAGGTCTTAAAACCTGTTGGAAAAAAATGGGAGGCAGGTAACATCAAATAAATGATATCATAAATCTAAAATATAAAATAACATGTAAATCATTCCTTAGTGCTTTCAAGGGGCAAGGTAAGGTTATTCTAGGGAATTACAGCGCTTACTGTTTTCCACATCTTGACTTTTGCCTTAAAATCTCCTGGGCCCGGTTCCTGAAAGGTTGATTAGCGTTAATCCAGGATTAAAATTTTGTTCTGTTTTTGTATATTTTACATTCCTATGTTTTGCTTAGGGTAACATTTTGTGTTGTCATTACTGTATCTTGTAGTAAAGGCTCAACAGTATTTTGTAACCTCAAGTTGCATGTTCTTAGCTGAGAAAACCATGCCTGAAATTTGGCTTAATCCTGGGTTAAAGTTAACCATCTTTCGAAGAACCAGGCCCTGGTTGTAGGAGTCGCATAACATCTTGAAGCACAACCCTTACAACTCTCTCCTTCGAGGTTAACTTGAAAAACAGTGGTCTACTTCATTTTGACTTATTTGGAGATTTCTTTTTGCTGCCATCAGCCAATCAAAGTAAAAAAATTTTGTTGCAGGCAAACAAGAGAAGCCCACAGTCCTGATCTCCAGGTTGCTATTATGCATGCAGGGCACATTATGTAGCCAGTTTTGTTCAGGCTTCTACTAAGAATGAATGGAATGCCCATAATGAAGGAGGGCAATCTGATCACCATAGTGTCACCTGTAATCTGATCATGCCTGTTTTGACCATGCATCTATCGCATGAAACTTAGTCAACTTGCCCAAAGCACAGCACTTGAGCAAGAGCATTTCGACCTTCAAATGATTGTCCCTTCAAACATTGTTACCTGCACTCCGTAACTATGGTTATTCCTAGTTATGCTTATAACTATCCCAGTTAGCATGAGATAGGAGGGATACTTCACAAGATATTCCACTTACCCTGTCCCACCTAGGAATCATTTAATTTACATTTCAAATGACTATTTCTTCAACAAAAAAGGACAGTGCTCTCTTGATCTTAATCATGACACAGTTTTTACAACACATTAGTAAGCTGTTAATTAGTACTACAATCATAGATATTCTACTACATTTCATCTCACTTAAAAGGCACAGAAAGTCTGATCTAAATTACAAATTAAGTAAGTTTAAAAGACTACTCTCAAATGTACAAAATTATTCACATAATTTTTAGTTATTACTTAAAAATGGCTTATAAAAGAACAGGAAAATTGCCTTAAAGCCGATCTCCATGAGAAGGAAAACAACAGTGTAAGAAGTTAAAATGGGCTTCCTGAGGTATGTAGAGCAATAATAATAGTAAACACAATAAAATCACTACCTGAGTCAGCACTTGCAACATCAACATAGTTTATAAATGCAGTGCCTGATGTCTCTGCGGGCGGCGTATTTCCCTTCTTATTTTTTGGTTTTAAACGGTTTGCTGCATCTGGAAGATGTTCAGCTAAGTTTTTCACTGAGTCTAGCCATGTTTTGCTCTCTAGAAAAAGGAACAAAGAGAACTCAAGTAAATCAATTTATCATAGGACTCCAACATCAAAATCAGTTAATAAATACCTACTTGCTGGCTGAAGAGGTGAATTTCCAAATCCCTCCATCTTCTTTCCTGTTGGCCCTGTCATTGCTGCAATAATTTTTTAAAATAAAGTTATTAATAAGGTATAGTACAAGAGTGTAAACAGTTGACAAGCACGTGGTTATAGAAAACAATTCAACTGGCAGAAAAAGCTTTTATATTACGTCAACTTCCAATACTTGTCCATGAATAATTTTTAAAATTGGCACTAACCCAGTATTGTGTTTATAATTGCTTTTAAAGGTAATAAATTGTTTACATTTTTGCTCATCAGCAAATGAGTTAACCCATGGAAGTTGTTGCCAAATAAAAAGTAATCAAATTAAGTCAAAAGTTAAGAGAGTTGGTTAAATGTAAGTGACAACACAAAGAATAGCTGAATATGAGAGAAGCAGAGGGCACTGCCAGAATGTTAAAAATAAATAACAAACAGTGACAAGGAGTTCAGCATTAACAAGAAAAAAAATCCAGCTATTGGACAACCATCAAAAGGTGAATTGAATGTGAGGCCTCTAAACTGTAAGTCCACTGGTCAGAAACTGGTCCTCTACAGCTGTATATATGTAACAATGTTATTATTGAATGAGGGTGAGTATGGTATGAAGAATGGTGAGGTCAGAATAAAATTAATATAACAGCTTCCAGAATCTCCATAAATCTTCACGTCATGCAAGAGCTAAATTCAATAAACATTGTTTATTGTTCATTCTCGGTAGCTAGGATTAGGGCCAATCAGATTACAAAAAACATGACGAAAAAAGCTATAAAACATCTGTTTTCTCTCTTTCCCTTCCTGTCGTGCAAATTTCTTATTAAAAGAGGTCAGACCATCTTTCTTACCATGAATGTTTGATAATGCACTACTCTCAACGTTGAAGAGAAGTTCAATTAACTCCTAATGAGAAAGTAATATCAAACAGTACTAAGTGGTACTGGTAGTGGCTTGTGCGTTATTTTGTTATGATAAAATACTTAAATGAACTGTTTTACAGTCAAGGCAGGTCAAGCATACCCCACAAGATTCCATTAATTAATTAATTATTATTCAAAAGTTGAATCTGCTAGCTGTTGTAGATTTCAGTTTCATCTCTGCATTCCTGTCTGCGTAACAAGCAGTGATATTCGCATAAGAGGCAGTTATGAAATTTCTACCAGCCCAGTTTTCTTGAATTCAATGTAAATATCTTCAAAGCAATTAATCCATTCACAGATTTCTCAATCTGACCGACTATAGAAGAGTTGTCATGAAAAATCTACTGCTCATTACACATGCAGGAATGCTGATTTGAATTTCATACTGGTCCAGGCAATGACTAATGGAATCACTTTTCTAATAATCAATTCATTAATGAAATCTTGGGGAGTACGCTTGACCTGTCTTGACTGTAACACCCAACAGATTGTTATGGGTTAAGGTGGCTGATTGACTGGTGGAGCCTGAGAGCAATGGCTGGCCATCCTCTGGTGGGCACAATGGAGGTCAAAAGTGTTGGGACATTTCCAGTAATATTAGTAAAACTAGTGACCCGTCCCCTCCCACCCCAGACAAAGTTAATCTTGAGCACCATGGGTGGAAATGAGTGCTTTTTTTGGCCACAACATTGCTGGAGGGAGTGGGGGGATGATGGGATGAATCCAAAACAGATCAAAAAATTGTCATTAGGAGCAGAGTGCTATAAATTATGTAACAGGCTTTTTCACACAGTCCCAAGTTCTCTTGTCCCCCATTGCAGCCCCTGTTTCGCGGTTGTGTGGGAAAACCCTGACTATGACAATCAATAATTAAGGCATACATTTAAATAATCAGTGGAAGGAAAACATACTTACATAAGGAAAGGAATGAACAAGGGAAAAAAGGATAAAAACAGCTAATCTGTGAGTAATTCAAGAGAAATGATATGGCTTTTGTATTATAAATTTGCTGTTGTTATTATAACAACAGCAAATTTACCGGGACCTCGGAATAATACAATATCCAGCCACTCAGCAATAAACACAAAATTAATGTGGCCAGCATAAGTTAACCTTGATTAATAATATTGACAAAATTAGATAACAAAATCTCAAACTCACTGACGCAGCAGCTCTGACTTGCTGATTAGGGCCATCTCCTTTGAGATAATCTATTGAGCCGGTAAAATCTGTGAATTAATGGTACACAACATTAATCAGAGCATTAACTTTACTTGTGTTACAGCATATACACATCCACGCATGAAACAGCTTAAAATGCATTATTATGATGTCATTTCTGGCTAACCAGAACTATCACTAGTGTAATGTAGTGATTGGACCCCACACATGACTGTATTATCATTATTACTGAAATCTTTACTATGCTTTTCAATAACAGACAAACTCAGAAAATAATACTTTATTTGAACATCACTTTATAACTGTCAATCATAATATTATGAGATAAAGAAACAAACAAAATGGATCAAAATCTACCAATTACAACCTACAGAAAACTTGAACTTGCTGAAGAAAACATATTTTACTCGGAGGTTGATTGGGATGACTGACAGAAGCAAAAAATGTAAATGGCGTAATTTTTTTTTTAACTTAAGAGTTTGCATGTTATTGAAAAGTGCAGTGATGACATCCCTAAAATTTATAGTATTTCATAATGACATGTAATGAGTGCATATGTTGTGTTTAAATTTAATCCTTTGTTTAAATTTTATTTTCTTTTGTTTTGGGGTATGGTAATGTTGATAATGAGTTTGAAACGATTAGGAAAATAAAATTAAAACCAAGGATAAAATTGAACCACATTAACACATATTCTGGAGCAGATGTGGAATAAAACAGAAAATTATGTGACAATTTCATTTACAACTTAGCTTCAAACATTTAATGGTTTATGCACAATAAAATAAAGTTTAACAGTTGTTTATTGTTAGTCAAAATTGACCAATCAGGTCAGTTGCCGTATTAATTAATACTGTCAACTGACCTTATACAACTCAACTCTGGCTCTGAAGATGACTACCGCACAGGTTGTTGAATCATCAGGCACTATCAACAACAGTCCCGGTGGAGTGATTTCACTCCAACCGACATTCGAGACTATGCTCACCTGGATGATCACACTTATCACCTACTTATGAAATGACTTTTGGGTTCAAACCTTGGACTTAATATTATCTTACTTTGAGCTTCTCTAAGGACATCTGCTTTGTGTCTAAGACCACTTCTGAACTCTGAATGGCCATTGGCTGATAGATAACAGAGAATTTTAAGGACCTAAAATAGAAAATCAAGATGTTTTTATCAAAAATAGTAATTATCAAATAACACTATTAAAGGTCCCAGCACATGGCCAGCATCAACAAACATGCATGTGTATGCATGCAGGGTTGTCAGAACGCTTTGAAGTAGACGGCTGAGTTGTCAAAGTAAGAGGCAAGTCCACGGATATTTTATTCAAAAAACACCATCCGTAAAGAAATGCTAAGCAGAGTACCCGGCTGATACTAACCAAGTAGTTGGCGATTTTCGCGGGCAGCCGTCTACCAATCAACAAACACTGTTATAAATTTTCTACCTTTTTTGCCTCACTGAGGTAAACAAATTTAATTTTGAATGATGGTGAAACATGAACATTCCTTTCACAACTTAACTCTTGCCTANCAACTTAGCTTCAAACATTTAATGGTTTATGCACAATAAAATAAAGTTTAACAGTTGTTTATTGTTAGTCAAAATTGACCAATCAGGTCAGTTGCCGTATTAATTAATACTGTCAACTGACCTTATACAACTCAACTCTGGCTCTGAAGATGACTACCGCACAGGTTGTTGAATCATCAGGCACTATCAACAACAGTCCCGGTGGAGTGATTTCACTCCAACCGACATTCGAGACTATGCTCACCTGGATGATCACACTTATCACCTACTTATGAAATGACTTTTGGGTTCAAACCTTGGACTTAATATTATCTTACTTTGAGCTTCTCTAAGGACATCTGCTTTGTGTCTAAGACCACTTCTGAACTCTGAATGGCCATTGGCTGATAGATAACAGAGAATTTTAAGGACCTAAAATAGAAAATCAAGATGTTTTTATCAAAAATAGTAATTATCAAATAACACTATTAAAGGTCCCAGCACATGGCCAGCATCAACAAACATGCATGTGTATGCATGCAGGGTTGTCAGAACGCTTTGAAGTAGACGGCTGAGTTGTCAAAGTAAGAGGCAAGTCCACGGATATTTTATTCAAAAAACACCATCCGTAAAGAAATGCTAAGCAGAGTACCCGGCTGATACTAACCAAGTAGTTGGCGATTTTCGCGGGCAGCCGTCTACCAATCAACAAACACTGTTATAAATTTTCTACCTTTTTTGCCTCACTGAGGTAAACAAATTTAATTTTGAATGATGGTGAAACATGAACATTCCTTTCACAACTTAACTCTTGCCTATCTGAATTGAATGCTACAGAGGTTTGAGCAACATCCTTCTCTGAAATAAACAGGAAATAAACACATCAATGGACAATAGCTTTCCCCCAGGCCATGCATGCATGCATGCATATCTTCCCACCTAATTTACTTGGATTGAGGCTGCCAGTATGTGAAAATCTGACAATTTTTAAGAAGAATTTTATTTTAACCAAATCACTTTATCCCCTTTTTCCCCAAGCCTTTCATTAGGCCATTTCCGAGTTACCGCAAGCCTCTGTTTCAAAGTGAGGCTAAGTGCAAAGCCATAGATAAGAGAATGATTTTATATTCTCATGCAAACAAAACTGAGTTTCACAAGAAAGGTTTTGCACTTCACCTCATTTTGAAAGTGAGAGTTTTTGGAACTTGGAAATGGCCTATTTTATACAATTAAGAATGAAATGAGAGACAGCTGTGGTGTAATTTTCTTACAACTACAAGTTTGTGTCTTACCTTGTATTTGACATAAGGAGATTTGTTTTTCAGTCTGACAACTAAATAATCCAATAAAGAGTTGCAGCTGCTAATTGATTCATAAGTTATGCCTGATATACACATCAAGGAAAACATCCCACAGTCACTAATGTCCAAACAGCATCTAAATTATGGTGCTTAGATGCAGCTGAGTGAAATTTAACACAGTTAACAACAAAGAAAGCCACCTCTTTTGAGTCTAGTCAGACAACATTTATGTGTCCCAATCTCAGTTAGCCTTGGTGGCATCAGCTTTATATGTTTGGTGCCTTGTTCAATGTGGCTGCAGGGCTTTGTTTAGCGTTTAGATCCTGCAATCTGCTGAGTGATGAAGGTGTTAACATATAGGGGTACAACTTAAGCATTTCAGTGATAAGTACAGGGTCCAAATGAGGTCTTAAATTTATACCCGAAAATATTGATGAATCCAAAACTACATGCATGCACTGAAAAAAAAACATAGTTATTTTGTACTTACATGTAAGTTTAATGAATATTTTCTGGAATTGACAGTCAGCACATTTAATTGGTCAATTATTGCTAACCATCCACATATGATTGGTGATTCTAGCAGGGCTGCAATTATGAACCGGGGACCAGGGATTTCCTGCAGCTGCTTTCAAAGGAAAATAGAAGAAAAATAGAACCAAAAGAAATCTCTAGCTGCATGATTCCACATCTACTTGTTGTATTTACCGAGCAACTTGAAATCTTAGTGACATCCCTGTTCTAATAATTCTTGCCATGGGTGGTAATTTTGGAATACCCAGCTGATTGGTGCGTCCCCACTATAGATTCCGAAAGTCTTTCCTTCTTGTTTCTAAAGTGGTCAATGGAGGGACTGTACAGATATTTTTCAGAACCACACTGTTAACTTTTGAGATATGACACAGCCTGAAAAGGATACTGTTGATTTCTTGGTATATGTAGCCTGGCGTTGGATTATCATCATCAAAAGTAGCTCTACTTAGCATTGGCATCTGCAATAAGATGCCTTGGTTGATTAGTTCCAGTAATATCAAATTGCAATATAAAGTGTTTCTTTCCCTGCTTCAAAAATGCAGTTGTTAAGTTTCCACGCACCCTTAAAAAGATACAATGTAAATCTAGAGTGCAAACCAGAGTCTATGCATAGAAAATAGTTAAGTCAGTTCCCATTGATCCCCAAGACCTGGCTCTGACCACTAACTTAACAGGTTTCGAGGGTCTCAGCAGCACACCTCTACCCGAAGTAGTCAATCGATAAATTAAATCGATAAAAATTGGTAAATCTGATTTGATTGATATCGACTGTATCAATCAAACAGTAGAAATTGATGACACACTCGTTTCGTTTATTGATTTATCTTTGATTTTTACCGATTTCATGAATTCATATCGGGGGACACATCCGTTCATGATCTGTTCCTCAAAAAATTAACAACTGAATTCATGCAAACAATAAATTTATTGACAATTGAGTAGCAATTAAGAGCCGTTGTTGAAAGTGACTGACGATTCGACAATCTGTGTGGTAGTCATCTTCAGAGTCAAAGTTGACAGTAAATAAGATTTACTCTCCCTTAGCAGGCAAAGATGGACAAAATTGAAGAAGAATAAAACGCATTGCAACAGTGGTTTTTGAAAACTTGTTACCCTAACAGTCCTTAACTTCAAAGTTTTTTGTTCTTGTTTGTAACGTTTGACATAAGCTTAATGCTTTTTAAGGCAAATTTGTTTGACATGAGGCTGTGATTTTGTCATTTACAAGAAATTCCATCTGTAACGTAAGTCACGTAAGGACGGGGAGTTTACATTGCAGCAGTATTGACAAAATAAACAACACAGTCGTGACAAAGCCCCCTTAAACAATTTAGGAAGCACACATAGAGTCATTGGAAAATTTTAGAGCTAAAAAATTATTTGCTGATATCAACTGAACCTTACCTTTTTCGCAAATGAAAATGTTTCTGAAATTCTTTCAGCGATTTGGGCAGCCATTTTGAATACGAGCCTTCTCCCCCAAGGCCTGCGGTTTTCACATCAGCAGTGGTAGCTGATTCATATATGAGGTACTTACACTGTAGGAATCATATATGAAGTACCTACCAACTCAGAAAATATTTCGTGCAGAACGTAACGAACTCCAAAACGAGGCAGGAAGCAAGCTCAATTTTAGTGAGTGTTTATTTTTGCGAGGCATTTTTAATGGTTATATCCCGACGAATTTATAGATTTCATAGATCTTTGAGTTGCTTCATCGTTGTCCTGACAGCTATAGCTGTTTTAGGTAAGCTGAGCTCTTTAAATTTAATTAATTGGAAGCTGATTACGTAACTTTAATGTAGCTTGCTAAGAAATCGCTGCCCGGGTGCAAGGAAACAAAGCTCTTCGGAGCTCTTCTTTCAAATTACGAGACAAAGGAATCATCAGTGATCGAAGGATTCGTTTCTTCAGATGTGTTTGTGGCTACAGCGTCTTGCCCGTTTCATCGCTCTCAATATTTGCAGTTTCTGTGTAACAGTACAGGAAAGAAAAGGTACCAAAAAAAAAAAATTTTAACCGGTCTGACAAGGCGCCCGAAACCTCTTGTGGATGGTTATGTCACCCAAATAGTTTTCTAGCGCTTAGGCGCATAGCTTGAAGACACGCAAATTAGGTGTATTTGTCGGTCTTAAAATTTTAAAAAAAAAATAACGTGGAAAAGTAGTAACTCGTGCCACAGGGCAACAGCTTGAAAGAAATTTTTGGGTGAGATAACCTTGTTAATGTGTAGGTCAGGTACAAGACTGGACTTTGATCCGAGATGTTGTAATTCACATCGGTCATGGAAAACGCAGCTTGCGGATTAATGTTTTCACCATGCAAATGAGAACATGACAACAATAGTCCCATTGTTTTCTAACCCTAAAAACAATGGTCTACAGTCAGTCCACAGTTTTCATTTCACACTGCCTTTTTTGCTTTGTACAGGGGTTCATGCTTGCTCTGTTTTGCTGTACATGTGCAATATAAATTATAAGAACAAGCATGCACAGACTTCCCCCAAAATGTTTAAATTTTCTTTACTTAGTGTAAGAGTTTGCTGTAAATCTAGACTGTAAAACAGACAGCAGTCTACCCTGCGAGCAGAGGCTACATTTTCACTGTGTGAGCTTGCATGCAAAAAGTAGCCTTTGCCAACAACCGTTCAAATCCATCCAGAAATCTGGATGAATAAATTTAAAAAAACGGGCTTTTTCCTGTTCTTGACCAGTTTAGAGAGTTGCTTGAGTCTTGCATGAGTCTTGCGTAGCAGGTCAGAGTTGTCGTAATTTTTTTCATTCCTGCGAAACTCGTGTCATTTGATGACAGACCTGATGATTAATTTTGTTTGCGAATTGCATGATGAATTTCGCGCATGCATGATAGAAAATTGAACAGTTGTCGGTAGAGGCTACTTTTCGCATGCCAGCTCACACAGCAAAAATGTAGCCACTGCTCGCGGGTACCAGCAGTCTCACTCTCCATTTTCAGCCTCACGCCAGACCTTTCCTTCGACCACTTGCGCATGCATTCTTAACCTAGGCAAAAAAATGGGCTGTTTTGCAGTCTACTGTATTAATGTAGATCTGACATTTTTAATTTGAATTACCGATCCTTTATGACTAGAAGTTGTACATTAATAATTTTGCATTCATGGAATCTTTTTTTCTCTTCATATTAAATAGTTGTCATGGCAACTGTCATGGATCCTACTCTAGCATCCTCACCGTCAATGACATGTGAGTCAGATTGGAGGGGACTGAAGGTCAATTTGTTTGCTTTTGATTTTGATGGCACATGTACTCAAAAGGACACCACAAGTCTACTGTACAAGGCAACAGACAAGTACCTCACTTCCACAGAAGTGGAAAGGAAACAACTTGACGCTCTCTGGAGTGAATTAGGGAAAAAATACTGGGCTGGGCATCAAGATGTTGTCTCAAGGTCACTTTCTGTTAATGATTCTCCCAGTTTTTCTGCATTTAATGAAAAAGAACTGAGGTCATTTCTGCAAAAGGTGTATGACTATGACTTGACAATGATGAAGGAAATCGAGGGAAGTAAGATTCTACAAGGAATTTCCAAAGAGAGTATCAAGGAAGCTGCACAGGAAGTAAAGCTTAATCCTGGCTGCTTGAATGTTCTAAACCATGTCAACTTGCCTCTGTATCTCATTTCTGTCAACTGGTGTCAAGATCTGATTCATGCCAAGCTGGGTCACCTTAAACATTTAAATATCTTTGGAAATAACCTTCCTCTTGAAGGCGAACTTTCATCGGGCCATTTAGGCAAGACTCTTACAAGCGCTTTTGACAAAGAGAGAATTTTTGAGGACTTGATTGGAAAAACAACTGAAAGATCTGATGGAGTTTCAGTGTTTGTTGGAGATTCAATAACTGATTTGCTTGCTTTGCTGAAGTCAGATGTCGGTATACTGATCGGAAAAAGTCAAACTGTCAGGAAAGTAGCTAAGTCATTTGGAATAAAGCTTCTTCCATTGCAGGACATACAAGAGATGAAAAGTGGTGATTGTCATGAGAATGCAAATCCAAAACAGAAGGGAGTACTGTTTGAGGCACCTTCATGGAATGAGATTGGTTTTATCTTGTTTGGAACAAAATACAGTCCTAATAAGTTCTAGAAAAATGCCATTTAAATAATTCCTATCAAATTATAATTATTTAGAAAGGTTAGGTGTAAGGAAGATGTTTGAATAGATGGATTGAAAATTCTTTCACTCCAAAGGTTTCATAATCTGATTCTCAGACAGGTTTACAACAGTTGTCTCCATTCTTCACTTAAAGGGACCTCAGATAATCAGAGAATCAGCCATAATGGAAAAAAGAAAACAACAAAAAGTAACCACACAAAAGGAATTCTGTAAAGGTTTTATTGAATTGATTGCACAGCAGAATTCATCTTAAAGTAGAGACTTAATAGTTACGTAATTGTAGAACTGGATTGAAAGTCTCTACACCTGACTTTGAGAGTAAAGGGGTTAAAATGTGAAAGCAAATTTTACAATGATTTCACACAAACTCCGTAGGAGAAAAAAAAAAGCTACTGTTGGAAAGCATTACCACATTATGATAATGTGGAGGTGACAAAAAAATGTGTAGAGATGGGTAAAAGGATTCCCAGAGTGAAATGGGACATTTTACGCTATTGCTTAAAGACAGCCCAAGACAAAGAGATGATACCCTGCAAGCAGAGGTCCATTGGTCTTCATAGATAAGTTCATTTCATTATGAAATCACCTGGGGTACTTACCATTACCATCGAAAAACCATAAAAAATTCTGGTAAGAAAATCAAATGGTTCATGCCATTCCATTTGGGAAGCTTTGGAAAATACGGGCTTTGATTTGAGGGGATGCAATTTTTCTACTCTTTTTAATTTGACCGGCTGATTGGATATACTTTGTAGTGGGTCGGTCTCCCACCAAGTCAATTTTTAAAGTTTTATGTTTGTATGCACAGTATATCTGTCAAGTTTGAATTTTATCCTTGGTTCATCTGAATGGTAAGCTCTCCTGGATATAACTAGAATCACTCTGTGGTTTTTGTCACAAATATTAATTTTATCCACATTTCACATTGGAGTTAAGTAAGAGCAACTGTGCAAGGTAGATCAAACAATTTTTGAAAAATATGGTTTGGTTATTCAAGCCAATCTTTGTAGAACATTTTATTTATTTGATGCCTTTCCTTGCCTACTTAAAAAATGATTCATTAAATATGGTATTATGTTTTAAAAAGATAACTGTCTTTAAATTAAGCTTAGTAATAAATCATGTTTGAGTGTAAGCAAGCACTCTGTTCAAACATAACAAGAACAGGACACACATGCAACGTGAGATGCAATGTATCGTATGCAAGTGCCCTGGGGGTGGGGAGGGGAGGGGAGCACTCAAGCAAAGTTTGGGTAGAGGGGTACCTCTGAGGTCTTCACTGACCCTGACCCTGTTTAAGACAAGAGCACTCATTACTTAATAATTAATTATTGAATTCTTTTTGCATACAGAATTAAATTATTTTTTTTTAGACTGTGATCATGTAATTAGAATTTTTTTGTTTGTATACCACAATTCTAGGTCATTACTGCTACCGGTAAATTCTTTTTTAACTAGAATGAACCATAATACCATTAATTCATTAATACTATTCATCATGAGTTTTAAACTAAAAAAATAAAAATACTGTAGAAATCTCGAAATGCAAATAAAAAGGAGTGCAAGAGATGTCAAGTGAGTGAAGCTTAACAGTAACACGTGGATTTTTCAGTCAGCTTAGTTGGCAAGAAAAAAGAGGAATACATCTGAAGATTCTATGTTTTTTTGGAAGCGTTTGTATCCTAAATGTGACATCTCGATGTAAATTCTGTAAAAACAGATTTTTTAATACTTTCTTCCCCCTTTCACATACATTCTATTTTGAAACTCGCCCCAGTCCTCTCTCAAAACTCGGAGAAAATGCATTTGGTGCGCACTTTCTGCAGCTCTACCGCAAAAACGAGGACGGTGACCCCCATTTTTTATTTCATGAGTTTACTAAGGACAGTGCTTCCTTTCGATGAGAAAAAGATTGGCACAAATCTATGTTCAGTTTTTTGGCAGTTTTACTAAATTGTACAGAATGAGCTATCACGGGTCGAATAGTGCGTGTCCAATTCAATTCTACTTTGGAGCGTAAAATAAAAACAGGAGCATTAAATGGTATTTTTCTGGTATGTAAGTGGATAAACAATACAATAAAGTCAAATTCTGTGTGATACCATATGCATCATCAAAAAAATCTCTTGTTTTGTCTAGTTTTGGACTGCGCGTGGTTTTTGACAAAGGGTCCAAAATACCGTATTTCTCAGCATTGTTACTTTTTTATCATCTTCTTGACTTGTTACATCAGTGTACCAAGTTTCATCTACAATCTATGTTAGGTTCTTTTACTAGGGAATCACCTTAAGTACTCTAGTCACTGACATTCATTTGCACGATAACATATTCCCTGCTTACAAAACTTATGTTTTAAAAATCTAAACTAAAATGACAAAAATAACAATAAAACCATCAGGCTGCTGAATGCAAAAGAGATCACCAGAAATCCCCCAGAGAAAATATTTGGATATGGAATTACTTAGTTTTGCTGGGTTTCCCTCTAGTAACTCTGCGTCCTTCTGGGCATATTTTGCAGTTAAGACATGATTCACACTGTGGTCCTACAGGAAGACATGTTTGTTGACCAAATCCAACCAACAGTACATTCAATTCATCCCATTCCTCCCTGCCAAAAGAGAAGAGAAAGTTTCCTTTAATCTGCAGCCATTTAACTCACAGTAATCACAAAAGCCCCAAGGTGTCAGAAGTGGGAGTAAACTGTCAACTGCTATTGGGGAGAATTTCCCTTAAAAATGTTAGAGTGATCATCATCATATCTTTCAGTGTCCTAAATTTCAGTTCTCTCAAGTCAAACTCCCTAAAAAGACAGTGTTAAATATACCTACAGATGAAAAATGAAAATAAAAAGTGGTTGGTGTATAGTTAGAGACATTTTGTGGCAGTTTCATTGGTAGATTTCATAGGCCTCAGTGACTGATTTTTGTGACTGTTAACAAGCTTGTGTCGAGCTAGCAAATATTCCAACTTCCTGTGATTTCCAATGTTTGTTCTTGCATTGAGGCACAATTTTAAATAATGGTACTAAAGGTCTGCCCAGAATACTGCAATTGCAGTTGACTGTTCCAACATTTTGACATGAGTTACAAGTAAAACAATTCTGTACTCTGCAGACCTAATATGAGGCCCTGCCAGGGAAAATGCCAACAAGCGAAATGGCCCAAAAAGTAGCAACAACACGTAAAATGAAATCGCGCCAAGAGACAACCTCCCTCGGCCAAATTGCGAAAGTGACGGCAAAGCCGACAATAAGCGACAAGCATTTATAAATACCGACACAAGACGTTTTAAAATTCAGACGGGCGACTTGGGACTCCCCCCGCTAGCAGGGCCTCTAATATCCTGGTGATAGTCATTCCCTTATTTACTGCTTGAAAATCATATTTCGGATTTTTCATGAATTAAAAGAAAGGGGGTGGTGACATTACTGGACAGCATAGCAGATGGTTTATTCATACATCTCTCTCAAGAGTTTGTGACTTGAGTAAATGGCTGAAATTCAGGCTAACCTTTTAGGGGTCAAATTTTGAATAGCAGGTGTGCCAAGAATACTAGTGCTGGCACTATTACAATAAGTTTAAGATCACTGTGCAAGTGTTATCATTTAAGGCTGGTCTGTCTCTCACTCTCATTTATCCCATAAATCTTCTTATATTAATTGTTTGACTCATTTTCAAACTTAGTGTAGCTGGCTGACTTTACTGCAGTAGCTGGCTACCTATGAAAGCCCAACAGCTGAGCTCAGAAAAAAATATGCAAAGGCAGGGGCTTTCTCAAAGCAAAGTCTATCACTATCACAGCTGCCTTAGAATTGGTAGAACTAAGAGGTAGAAGTTGATATAACACATCCAAAAAAGAGGTTCTGCTAACTTTCATATCTAAATGTTTCAAAAACCATACCACCCATAAGCCATACCTAGTTGGTACTGAGGTAGAGCAGAAACATGGAATTGGTTTGGTTTGGCAGATAAGCTTAAACTTTTCATATAATTCAGACTGACATCTCTCAGTTATGGGTGATTTCCCCAAAAACGTATGAATTATGGTGGGAGTGGGTAATAGGCAGTGTTCTCCCTAAGATTTTGGGAAGGCCAGGGGGTCTTCTGACTGAGATTTTTAACAGTCTTTGTACAAAGCCTGCTGTAGCCAGAATAAAATTTCATACACACTTGAGGAATTGAATTTTAGTTGTTCACTTGGTTTATGGTAAGTAACCCGTTTATTCTCCTGTTTTTGTCTGAGCCCCAAATGGCAGCTGCCTTCTCATAACCAAAGTCCTCTTCTGATTTTCGGTGTTTGGAATTGATCGATTTTGGAAGATTTGGTATTGCTTTAGGTGACTGAACATCTTCCATCACTTTTCTTTTTCACAGTCAAAAAAATCAATTTGCTTTGACAAGCTTTTCTTTTTTGTTCCATGCATCTTCTTGGGATGACTGAGTTTTCCACTGTGAATTGTGATACTATTAATTTAAACTGTGAGTGCTGGAATTTCAGTTCTTACTCCGTGTAAGCTCCTTGAAGGGCCCTTATGTTTGTCGGTCAATTTCAAGATGAGTGCCGTTCGGTGAAACGAGTGTTTAAACATATTCATCCAATGGTAAATCACTTTTACAATCAGTTAATTACAAGAAAACACACAAGTAAAAACACCATGGACAAAGTTTCCTCAACGTTATTGAGTGATTTTGTCCCTGAAGTACCTTTTCTAGATGTCAACATAAGCATCCATTTGGATAGATCTTTGATTTTAAGCCAGGCGGCAACCACTTTCCAGTGAATAATTAAGCCAGGCAGCCCGCCTAGCCTTAAATACCTGGGGAGAACACTGATAGGATTTGAACTAGTAAGACCTTTAATTTGTGTACCCTCTAAACCTGCAGTTAACATTACCTTGGCAGCCAGCTCTCTACAGCAACCCTAGTTTCTTCAGGAAGTTTGGTGGGCTTTTTGACCCAGCCAAGTCTATTAGCAATCCTGTGGACGTGAGTATCAACTCCAATTCCTGTCACCTCCCCCCACGCTACATTCATGGTAATGTGTGCCATCTTGGGACCCACCCCTGGCAGTGCTGTGAGATCCTTTACTGTGGGTGGAATGTCACCTTTGTACGTTTCAGCACAAATTTTAGTTGCCTCCTTAATATACTCAGCCTTTTTCTGAAATTGAAAATAAAAGAATAATGTCAGCTGAACTCATCATACTAGATAAAAAAATTTAGTTATACACAGTCAAATTTGAATTGAGTGTGTCATGTGAATGAGAGCAGAGGAAAAGAACTTGTCTTGGATGACCATAAACTATATCCAGGGTTGACAAAAGTAGCCGGCTGCCGGCGAAAATCACCACCTACTTGGTTAGAATCGGCCGGCTACTGTGCTTGGCATTTCTTTACAGATGATGTTTTTTAAATAAAATATCCCTGGACTGGCTGCTTACTTTGACAACTCAGCAGTCTTCTTCAAAACTTTCTGACAACCCTGTATATGCTCATTTTTTATAGTTAAGGAAGAATTAAATTTGAGTATTATCAATATAAGTACATTTGTATGATAAGCCCAAACAGATGAACCAATCCTGTTGTTCAGTTATAAGTTAGCCTGTTTCGGTATGTACAGTTTTTAATCAACACTCACACTCACCTTCCAGAAACCAACTGGGTAAATCAGCTCCCCTATTTTACTTGTAGGTGTTTTAAGAATATTCTCTACTGTTAGGCCATGTGCTTTTAACTTTTCCATGGCTGCAAATGTGACTTGGTCTTTTGTTTGACTTGACAGCATGAGAGAAATAAGGACTTGGTAACGAATGGTCTGCAAATTAGGCACAAAATACAAGTAGTATTCTTCATTATCATCATTTTTCTTTCCCATCAGTCCTTGTAGGGAATAGTCAACTATGAAGTCCATATTTGCTGCATCATCTTAATTACGTGTCGATCATATGTGACATCATGGAAGCTTATTGGAAGGCCCTTTTCATGAATCGGTCTGTCATAAGCTCAAGTCGAAGGGCAAGCACATTACCCAGCCCTCTATCCCAAGGGAGTCTACTGATTCAGTTATGATATCATTCACTACCTGGGGATGGGGGTACTCCTGGGAATTCTTGGTGGGGTTGTGCCACCTGGTTCTTCCTATCCTGACCCGATTTCAGACCAAAGAATGTAATAATTATATTATCCACACCCGTTTTCAGACTAGACCTCTATAATCCATACCTGTTTCCTAGACTACAAGTAGTCTCCCATTTTGCCTCACCCCACGCAAGAAAAGGCGACACGTGGCAGGGAAAGAGAAAAATGAGCCGCGTGTCGCCTTTCTCTTGCGTGGCATGATTTTTACACGCGCTCGTGTTTCGCTCGCTCTACTATCCCTGAGGAAAAATGGGGGACTACTCATAGTCTACCATTTCCAGACCTGGCCTTTATATTATCACTACCTAGTTTAGGGCGAAAACACAAAAATTATTCAAATCTATTTGGAATTTGCATATTTCTCTTTCTTTCTTACTCATTTGGAATTGAAACAAAAATGTTCATACACTCCCATACTTCCCTCGAAAACCATACCCGATTCTAGACCAAAACAGGCAAAGTGTATATCCGTTTTCAGACCAAACGGCGCAAAAACCCTACCCGATGGGGCAGCACATACCTATATCGCTTAGCCCCACCCCCGGTTCGCTACTCAGTGTACTTGTTATCGAATCTGACTCAATAAACATTAATGGAGGTTAACAAAGGCCATGCCAAGCCTCTTTTTTCCTATCCCTTTCACGTAGCAACCCTAATCGCGATTATCCATTCCCAGTCCATAAACTGCCCAACACTCACCTCAGCTGACTGGTTCATATCAGCTGTCTTTTCACATCCTTGGGAATCTACCGGTGCGTCCCGTAATTTTCTCATTTCACGGATATTAGCCAGTTGTTCCCTCCAGTTAGCAGGTTCCCAGTCTGAAGACTGTTTTTTTGTTACAGAAGTATCCTTCTTACGCTTCTTAGAGGCTACATCTTCTTTTAAATCATCGCTCGCTTGTTCTCTCCCGCCATCTTGGTTTTCGGACTCGTATTCGATCTTCACGTGCTTTCTAACCGGTTTCTTTTTCTTTACCAGAGCATCTGCGGCCGCTCTTGTAGCCGAACGCGTTTGTCTTCCACTTGCCGTAAAATAAGGAGACGAAATCATCCTTATGATTTTAGAAAAATAATAGAACACCTGATCATATGTTTACAAGAACTCACCGACCGACCGCCATTGCTTTTGTTCTGTGTTGAGTGTTGACGACTTTTGGCGGGAAACTGAGGTGTCTGGGTTTTTTACGTGTGGGGAGGGGTTCGAAATTTTAAGACACTGGACAGGCATTCTATGATCTTCTGTGTAAAAGTTGTCAAATAATGATTAAAGCAAATCCACGTTTCCTTCAGGAGTAGACAAACATAATTTGCGCCGCCGTTTCTTTCCCTGTGACAAAATTTAGAGTTGAAATCTTGAATGCATTTTTATCATTTAATCGGGATGACTGATAAATTTTCGCATTATTTTGGTGTCTTTGTGTTTGTATTTTCTTTAACAAACGTAGTGAGAACTGTACAAGCCTTGAGCCTTTATCTCGGTCCTTAACTTTATTTTAACTAAAATCAAATATCTACTACTTTTGTTAACAAGTTCCTTGTAATTATTATTTCAGCGGAGCCCTCGCGCGCGAAGCGCGCGCAGTGGAACACCATGGGTAAGAATGCATCCAAGAAATTTGGGTTCTGAAGAAAGTACGTACGTACATCCACCCCCTCATGTAAGCCGGATTGGAATATTCTATTTCAAGTACCCGCGGGTTCGGCGGTAAATCGCATAGCCACCCGGACTTTTAAAGAAAAAACAACAACAACGAAGCCGATTCTTTCTTCCGACTTAAATTTTAATGTCTGCATTGACGTGGATAACAGAGAAAGAGCTAGAGTAAGAGATAAAAAACAAAGGAGACCAATTTCGTCGTAAGAACAACATGAAAATTTTATAACAGCGGTAAGAAAATGAGAAATGCTAGCGGCCCCAAGGTGAACAGCGAACAAAAAAGTGAACAGGAACGCATACAACATTTCCTTCTTAAAACGTGTAACTAGGAAATTTCTGGAAGCCACGTTGTAGTCGTGCAAAACAACGGCAAAGAAATGCACAAAAAAAGCGTGCAAAGTTGTTTTTGGGAGGAGTACAAGAGGACGGAGAGGACTGAAAGGGTGGGAAGTGGGAGTTTAAAAAGGGCAGAAAGCGGCATAAACAGAGAAAAGTAACGCAACAATGCTTAATAGTTCGCAGTTGAAAAAGGGCTAACCGCAGAAAGCCAAGAAATCGCCGGCTGGAGGCCAGAGGTTTGGACCCCCTGGCACTCTACCTCTTACCACTTGAAATCGGGCCTAGTTGACCCAGAATATAATAGATCCAGGATAGACCCTTAAGTATACGTCAAGTTGAAGTGTCATTTCATTTCTTTCCAGAAATGCGTTTACTGATTCATGTTTTGATTGAAACGCTCTTCTAAAGAAATGCGTATTGACCAATATTTATATATAAACTCAGGGGCTGACCAGACAATCATTAGAGCTGTTCAGAACACTCATAGGCTCGATTACCTGCCGCTGTTAGGGAAAATGAGCCAGCATTCATCCCCCGAAAGAGGAGAGGATCAAAGACCGGACCCGGGAGACGGCGGAAATCGAGCCTAGAACACTCACAGAAAGTGTTTATCGAGTGCAAGTTTGAAAATTGTCGCGAAATGATTCTCAGTTATTTTTTACCGGCCTTTGCTTGATCAGGAGCTGGTTACGTGCCTTGATAATACCTTGCATTTAGTATATATTCTAACAAGAGCCATTATGGCTCTTGATTCTAAACATTGCATAAACCACTTAATAACACCGCAGCGGGAGTTCGTGAAACTAATTTCTAAAAATTACAGTTGAGGACTTAATTTGACTTTCCGCATTGAGCTGTTTCGAAGATGAACATAATCTGAGGTACATTTTAATGTTTAATCACCACAATTGCAGTGATAAATGGTGATCCGATATTGTAAAATATCCTCCATGACCTCGGACCACACGTTTTACACAGGTTTTCCAAAGCTAGGCAAACTACCATCTATCAACCCTACCAACTTAAGATTGAATAAACTGCATTTTCTGAGACTACTCTTGATTACCGAATCTGCTAAAAATAGGGGGTCATTTTTTATATGTATTAAAAAGCAAATGCAAAACAGTTATGTACAGATGTATGACATAAAACCTCTTAAGCGGTCTGTAACCATGGAAAACACTCCAAACACACCTGTTCCGCGGCGCCAGAGTTGATAAAATATCAAACGAATAATCAATAGCACTCTTAGTTTTCGCGATGAATTCTTCAGAGAAGGGGAAAATTGCTGGATTATGGTTTATTTTTCAATTCCTCTTCTGGAGATTAGGAAGTCCAATGAACTCTCTAACTGGGACATCAAATCCGAGCAGGTTATTTTGCGCACGATATGGAAGATTCGAACAACCTAAAAAAGGCGAGTTAAAATTTGAAATTTAAACTTTCATTTTCAGTGTTTAAGGGCCGCCGGGTTTAGACGCCTAGATGAATGAAATTTCAACTTTGATGCTCCTTTTCATTTACCCTGTGAACTGAGGTTCTTCGATCTTCCCAGGGGCACCCAACCACTGTTTTCTGTAAACTCTCTGCCGTTCGGAGAAGCAAATTTGTTACTCGGCGAAAAATCGTGGAATTGGAATTCGTGAAAACCGTGGGTATTACCTCTGTTACCTAATGTCATGCGATGACTCCTCGCTTTTTCGATGCGTAACACGGATACAAGAGATAAATTTCTTTCACAAAGTGAAGTATAATTTACTTAACGAGACCATTTGACGAATATTTCTGGTTATATGCTTTATTTATATTTGCTTGGCTTATTCAGGCTACATGCCAGGAGTTTGATGACAATGTTTGTGTGCTATAATTATGCTGATAAGTTTTTGCACCTTTATATTGAAACTCATGTAAGCCAAATGTTTCTATAACCTCTAGCAAAACACTCTTCTATTGTCGAGGAACTTTTAACGTCTTTCGGGGCCCAATATGGTGTCAAATTTTTAGGGGGAACAAAGCTTGATTTTTGGCCAAACAGACTATAGCTTTTTTGTCTCTGAAGAGAGCGCGAGGCAAACGTCCGTCACAGAGCGCAGTGTAACCCAGTGATTCTTTAGGCAGAGCTAACAAACATAGGCTGCACTTTAGGTGGCACACCCATGGGTGCAGTGTAACCCAGTGATTATTTTAGGTAGAGCTTACAAACATAAACTATACAGGTGTACATCAGATGGCAACAAGTTTTCCAGTTAAAACTTTGTCATAAAGTGCTACACCGTGGCACTTAGACAATTTCTTTATCGCGCGCTTGATACATTGTTTTGACGCACAATTGATAGTCAGGAGAAGTCGTATTGTCTAAAATCATAGCAAAAGACAAATTTACACACATCACAGAGGTAAGGTAAGGTAATACACGGTATTTCCCTTAGGTATATTTACATTCAAGTATAGAAATATAACCAGATAAAAACTAAAATAATAACGATATAACAATAAAAAACCTGCTTCACATTTAGGCCTTGTGTAAAGATACATATATCTAAATTAAGGTTTTTTAATTTTCCTTTAAAAAAATTATTGCCGCACCTTCAGAGACAAGCTGTTCTACAACACTCTTCCGTTATAAGAAAGGCTTCTCTTTTAAAATTCAGTGCGGGGTTGTGGAACAGCGAGCTTGTTTGTATTCATGCATTTTCTGTTAGGTTATAAGCGATTAAATCGCATGCAGCGACGAACAAAACGCGAAGCCGTCAGATATTCTAGAACCGTGTTATTTACAGTGCTGTGAATTATTATTGCTTAACTAGCTAACTACGCGCTGATGGAAATAAATTTCGCCCCTTTAAATTTCGAAACAATTCACTGGTACTGTATAGTCATAATTGGAACGGAAAGTTAGCACGCGAGCAGGGCGATTCTGCTGTAGTTTCTGCAATGTAGAAGATATTACGGCAATGAGGCTCCCGAGGTCCGTTCCCGAAATCACAACTACATGTACAGTTGTAGTATGAAATGAATTCTGCGTGCAGACGTCTCCTTTTCCAGGTTAGGTTAAATAAACCAACGGTTTGTTTGACAAAGCTCCCGCGAGACGGTTTTTTGGTGATTTTATTAATTTTTCCGATCCATTTTTTGTTTCATCTCTATTTTCGCGGCTTTTGCGATACAAACTAAATTCATTTTTAGTTGTGATGGCATTACACTGCTTAATCATGACGGCTTTGGAAGAAACATATTGCGCTTCGCGATTTCGCAAAATTGCTGCGAGAATTAAAATATATTTTCTTCCAGAAAAGCGTTTTCACGCTTCTTTCTCTAGTCAATTATCTCGTTTTCTAAAGGTCCTTGAGAACTGAATAAGACAATATTTTATTACCTACAACCGATAAACCTGATTTATTTTGACCACATCGAAACAAAACTGGAAGAAGAAAAGCCTTTTATTTTTGCCGGCTTCGGCCTGCCGACGCGATCGTGTCTGGTTTGCTTTCATATGATGACATTTTCCTGACAGAAGGGTGACGGGAAAAACACCTCGCGCTGATCATACGTGACAAAATCCGCCGCGCCTAAGCTAATGAAGAAAAGTCTCCTGGAAGGCTCCATACAATTTCTTATAACAAAATTATAAGGAATTGTATGGAGCCTTCCGGGATACTTACAGTGCAAGCCCTTCGTGTCTCCTCATGTTAACTTTTCATATTTTATTACCCAGGTTACACTATTTTTCTTAGAAAAAAGGAAACCTAAAATTTTCGGATTCTAAAATGTGATGCAGCCGAGGAATCAGAAAAATTCTTACTTTCGTAAAATGTTAAATTGCTCCAGGAGCTCCTGATTGCACCTAAAATTTTCGGAAAAATAATACTGAAGCCCTTGTAGTTTCGAAAAGACTTACGTTCCCCTGGGATGACCGAACAGATAATAATTTTCTGGCATCACTTAGAATGCATTTCTAGTCTGGATAGCCTAAAAAGTGTTTCCAAATTATTTTGGAGGAAACCGTCGATGGGTGCCCCTGTCTTCCTTCAAAGTTCCTCTGCTCGCAGGGTACT